CCTCTATGACATGATACAATATATAAAAGCCAGGATCAATGATAAAAAATTGGTCTTGCTTGTGTCACTTGACATAGAGGGAGCCTTCGACAACGCCTGGTGGCCAGCTATACGATGTGGCCTTGCAGAGATAGGATGCCCAAAAAACATTAGGCGACTGACAGACAACTATTTTGAGGATAGGTCAGTTTGCATAAAGTACTTAGGGACAGAATGGGTTAAAAAGACTACGAAGGGATGCGTGCAGGGCTCAATAGGCGGTCCAATATTTTGGAACCTTTTGCTTAATCCACTTCTGCAAGAGCTAAACGATGGAGGGGACCGCTGCCATGCATTTGCGGATGATGTAGTCCTGATTTTCTCTGGAGATAATGCACTGGAAGTGCAGGAACAAGCCAATGCGGCCCTCGAACGTGTTCGGAAGTGGGGAGTCAAAAATAAGCTGAAATTTGCTCCGCATAAAACTAAAGCAATGATTATTACAAATAAGATTAAGTACGACTCACCACTTCTGAAAATGGGCGGGGAAAGCATTGGTTTGTCCAAAGAAATTAAAATACTCGGCCTCACAGTTGACGACAAACTGACCTTTAACACGCACGTGAGGAAACAATGCTGTAAGGTACAGAACTTGTATCGTCAGCTGTGCAGAGCCGCAAAGATTCATTGGGGCTTAAACTCCGAGATTATCAGGACTATATACATAGCGGTAGTAGAGCCGATTATATTATATGCGGCGAGCGCATGGGCGGCGGCAACAAATAAAATAATGATTAAAAAACAGCTCGATACGGTGCAACGTGGGTTCGTGCAAAAAATTATTAAGTCTTACAGAACCGTCTCTCTACACTCGGCTCTGCTACTTGCCGGGCTGCTTCCCTTGGATCTGAGAGTCCGGGAAGCAGCCTTGCTTTATGAAATAAGAAAAGGCCATTCCCGGGTAGTGGTAGAGGACCGAGATGTGGAGACAAAAGTCGAATATTGTAGGATGCCACACCCTGCAGACGAATATGGCCTGCAATACAAATGCCTGGAGGACGGGGCACAAATGGACCAACATGACAATAAAGGCCTCAAAATATTTACTGACGGCAGTAAGATCGAGGGGAAAGTCGGCGCTGCATTATCCATTTGGAATGATGCAGCGGAGACGAGTAACCGGAAACTAAAGTTGGAAAATTTCTGCACCGTCTTCCAGGCGGAGTTGCTCGCCATTCGAGAAGCAACTAGGTACGCACTAACACACCCAGCACAAAATTGTCAAATATATAGTGACTCAATGTCTGCTCTCCAGACAGTTATAAAAAGCGTTTCCCTCCATCCCCTAGCGGCAGAAACTAGAACGAACATCAGTCTAATAAAAAAGCAAGGGAAAACTCTCGAACTATTCTGGATTAAAGCTCACGCAGGATTGGAGGGAAACGAGAGAGCAGACAAAATAGCCAAAGAAGCCGCACTAAAAATAAAAAGAAGGCCAGATTATGAGAGGTGTCCGGTTTCATTCGTCAAGCGACAGATTCGACTGGGTTCGCTTGACGAATGGAACCGAAGATACACGGAAGGAGAAACAGCCTCCATCACAAAAACCTTCTTCCCCGATGCCATAGAAGCATATCCATACAAGTGATGACAGGACATGGCGGGTTCTCCGATTATTTATTCCGTTTTAAATGCAAGGAGAGCCCGGCATGCGCCTGTGATCCAGCAAGACAAGAAACGGTTATACACCTAATAACAGAGTGCCCTATTTATGGCAGAGAAAGAGCTGATTTAGAATTAGAGATAGAAATTAAGATAAACAAAGAAAATGTATACAATATAATTAGAAATAAACAGGTTAGAAATATATTTTTGAAATATTGTAAGAATATAGTCCATAAGGTAATAAATAAGAATAAAAACTAGTAGTAATAAGGGAAATTGTAACATAATATATATAATATATAATGTATACAGCCCATACAAATATGTAAGAATAAGAAATAGCACAATAAGAATTGTACCTAGAATTAACTAGATAAGAAAACATGTAAGAACTAACAAAAGAAATAAAGAAACAGAAATAAAAATAAAAAAGAATAAAAAACACAAAAATATTAAAAAAGGAAAAAGAAAAAGAAAGATTAAACTATAATAAAAGATTAAAAAAGTCCCTGAGTTCCATGTCAGGGGAACTAGAAAAAAAAAAAAAATAAAAAAAAAAACCTAACCTAACCTAACCTAACCAGAAATTCAAAATTATTTACGCGTCCAACCATATTTATGAGATAGACCAGAGGAGTACGAGTCTGGCGAGCCCAAACACGACAATTTTAAGTCAATAAACAACTTGAATAAACAGTTTCAAAATTTTGGTCGGCCATCTTGAAAATATTTAGAGAGCTGTAACTTCTACATTCTTTTAGATAGGATAGCCGTTATTGGGCTCATTCTCTTTGTTTCTGAGAGACCTATCTTGTTAAGGGGGAAAAAGGGGAAAAGTAATCTCTTAATTTAAAAAATAAAAAAAATGTCGGATAAATCAAAAAAATCTGCGTCCAGCGGTTCTGAAAGGCACACAGTTGCCAAAAAGAGACCAGCATATACAGCAAAAATTGCAAAAGAGACAAGCCGTGTACCATCTATCGGCGACCTGGAGGTTGCAACTCAACAACAGCTTAACGTGCCACCTGTGGAAACCTGTGAGGGTCGTACGGGGGAGCAACATACGGATTCGCAAATGGGGAATCAACACGAGAAGCTTGAAGTAGAACTAGCCACGAGCTTCTTTACGTCGCCAAAACTTGACGAGGCGACCACGTCATCCCCAGTTCTTGCGAGAACTGGATCGAGCCTGCTTAGAATACGTACCCAGATACGACAGGCGAAAGCAGCAGAAGCTCAGGAAGCTTTCAAAGCCGTGTCCGAGACAGAAGACACAGGCGAGTCTGATGTTGACAGTGGTGACACCAATATCTCCCTTGATGCTTCCACAAGGTCGATTGGTGGTAGCCGTATGCTTCTAAACGAATTACCCAGACACGCGAATGAAATCTTGCAAAGAGCCAAAGCTGATTTAGAAAAGTCAGGGAACTTAAAGAGGGAAATTCGTGAGAGTGTAGTTGCGGGCCTGTACACCCTGTACGAGATGATTCTTAAGCTGTCCGACTCGCGTATGCTACACATGCTCGAATCTAGCAAGCAAAAGGCGAATGTCTCAAGAGAATCAGAAAGGCTTACTCAAAGACATGCTCGTTTCATGCATGAAACTTTGAGTCAATACGCCACATTAAAAGAGAGTATAGAGAAACTCCAGAAGGAAATTGAGTCAACCCGACTCATTGTCTCGTACGATCTCTGTGAGGCAGTTTCAGCCACAAAGCGCGAAATAACAAATATTCGAAGCGAGACAAACTTAAGCCCAAACTTGGCAAGTCAGATGAACGTTATCTCTGAAGAAGTAAAGTTACTTCGAGATAACATAAACTCTCTCAGTAAATCACCGATTACGGTTCAAGATCAATGGAATCCCATCACAGAGGAACTCAAAGAGCTCCGATGCATCATACAGGAGATAGACAGAAATAGAGAACGACTCGAATTACCTGCTGATATCTCAGCAAATACAGGTGATGTAAATGTTAACACTCAAAAATTTAACGATGCTGCCGAGAAACTGCAACATGAGATAACCGACTCCAAACTTCTGTTAATCTCAGACATGTCTGAGTTGAAAAAAGAAGTAAATAGGATAGCCATAGATATTCAAAGCCTATCCTCGACCGCCTTTGGCTCCTCGCTCCCCTCGGTACAGGCCAGCTTGGCAGAACTGAGGAGGGAAATGAAGGAGTTAAAAGACACTGCAGTGGACTCGACAGCACCCATCAGACTAGCAATAGAGAGCCTCAGAAGTGAGCTTAAAGATAAATCACATGTTGAAAAGACAGAACCAAGAAATACACAATATAAATTGCTAGAGGAAAATGAAATAGATCTTACTCAGCACTCACCAATGCCGCAACGTAAAAAGTTTCCACGCACGTTCTCGGAGGTGGTAGCAAGGCCAAACTATCCAATTATAGTGGAATCGATCGATCCAAGAAGTACAAGCGATGACATCATGAAACAAGTTAAAGGCGGGATTGACGTGGTTGAATTAGGTATTGGCATCAACCACATCAAGAAAGCCAAGAACCAGAAGGTCCTAATCGGTTGCGAGTCTGAAGGAGATAGAAACATCCTCCAAGACAGACTCAAACACACAACTGACAACTTAACAGTGTATAGACCAGTCACAAAAAACCCGCTCCTTCGTCTTACAGGAGTTGCCTTCGACTTGACGAATGGAAAGGTCGAGGAAGCTATAATTAAACAGAATACCACACTGCTAAATGACATTACGGCAGAACAGAAACAGGTGAAAGTTATCAGAAGAACGAAGGGTCGCACAAGCTCCACGTCTAATATCATCTTGGAAGTAAGCCCGCAGATCTGGACAAGACTGCAAAATCAGAGAGTAAGAATTGGATTTCAAATAGTTCCAGCCACTGATCATTCACCGGTAATCCAGTGTTACCGATGCTTAGGCTATTCTCACCTAGCTCGAGAATGTCAAGCACAAAAAATGAACTGCGGTTACTGTGCTGAAGAACACGACACAAGGAAATGTAATAATAGGAACAAGGCACCGAAATGTATAAATTGCATACACAAAAATGTAATTGACCAAGGTTGCGACCATCCTGCCTACAGTCCTGAGTGTTTAGAATGGAGAAAGTGGGACAGGATTGCAAGAGCAACTGTATCGTATTGCTGAAGACACCGACAATTCCTCGCAAGATTCAACAAACACGAAGGAAGTAGGAATAAAAATAGCGCAGATAAACCTCGGAAGAGGAAGAGCTGCATTTCAGGAATGTCTGCAATCAGCGGCCACACAGGGAATTTCTTTTCTTTTGGTACAGGAGCCTTATGTTGGTGCAAAAGGTCATGTTACCTGCCAACATAGAGTAATACAGAAAATGTCTAGTGACGTTCAAAGACCAGTTAAAGCGGCCGTCATTGTCGTCGATCCAACTGTACAATTCTTTATTAATCCTGTAACAATTACTAACAACATTGTAGCATGTAAATTTAAGATTAAGAGCCTCAATATTGTTATAATTAACGTTTACTTAGAAGAAGGGCAACAGATTGAAGATGATTTGTGTAAAATTTCAAACTACGCAAGCATCCTAAACGAAGATCACATCATATTAGGAGGAGACATTAATGCGAAGAGCCCCTGGTGGGGTTGCAATGTGGAGGATAGAAGGGGAGCAGCCGTAGCAGAAACTCTAAGCCAACTAGGCCTACATATATTAAATACAGGGAATATACCAACTTTTTCTGTATACAGAGGAGAGAGAAACTACACAAGCATTGTCGATGTCACTGCATGCTCGAGTGGTCTCCTACGAAAAATCTCCAACTGGAAAGTAAACCCAGAATTTGTCACACTGTCTGACCATAGGGCCTTAACATTCGACCTAAATAATTTAAGCACAGTGAGAATAAATACAGAACGACAATCCACACGTATTTACAACACAGGTAAAGCCGACTGGAGCAATTTTATAGACACCCTTAAACAAAAATTAACCACGTTTAATATCACCGAGGAAACTGTAAATATAATTATAGACACAGATCCATTAGAGAGTCTAGTAAGGTTATATACCACATGCGTGCAAGAATCTTGCGAAAAGACGATCCCTAAGCTGTCTAGGAAAGTACTCAGAAAGACACCATGGTGGACTGAAGAACTAAGCACAAAGAAAAGAGAGGTAATTCAGAAGAGAAGAAAAATTAGATATGCAAACCAGAGAAGGAAACAAATAGTAATACAAGAATACATCTTAGCCAAAACAGAATATAAAGACCTCCTAACGGAAACTATGACAACTAGCTGGAAGAACTTTTGTGCAAGGCAAGATAAAGAAAGTGTCTGGCAGGGCATCTACAGGGTCATAAGAAAATCAGGCAAAGCACCAGAAGACACCCTGCTGAGAACAACATCGCAAAGCTGTATCTTAACTCCAGGGGAATCAGCGCAACTGCTAGCTGACACCTTTTACCCAACCGACGAGATCACAACAGATGAACACGACCACGTTGAAATGAGAAACATTTCCGTAACTATAAGAAAAGAGCTGTGTGATAAACTGCATCAAGACAATTTAATACCTTTCACTACCACAGAAATAGAAAATGTATTTAACAGCATGAGTCCAAAGAAGTCACCAGGGGAGGATGGGTTAACGGCAGACATATGTGAAAAATCATATATAGCGGCACCAAAAGTACTCATAGCTATATACAACAAATGCCTATCTCTTGGATACTTCCCCCAGACCTGGAAAGGCGCGGTAATCAAAATTATCCCAAAACCAAACAAAGAAAATTATACTCTTCCTAAATCTTATCGTCCTATCGGACTTTTACCAGTCTTCGGGAAGGTCCTGGAAAAGATGTTTGTTAACAGAATGTCATGGCAGCTAGGACGAGAAAATAAAATGAGCAACAGACAGTATGGATTTGTAGCACAGAGGGGTACTGAGGATGCCTTGTATGATGCCATGGAAATAATAAAAAAAGGCATAAAGGACAAAGAAATAGTTGTCATAGTATCCATAGACATCGAAGGGGCCTTTGATAACGCTTGGTGGCCTGCCATCATAAAGGAACTCAACAACAAAAATTTAGATAAAACCATTCAGAGACTAATAAGCAGTTATCTGTCTGAGAGGCATATAAAACTCAGATACGCAGGCACTGAGATTATCAAGGAAACAAACAAAGGGTGTATTCAGGGCTCAATTTGCGGCCCTTTGCTTTGGAATCTTCAGCTCGACTCCCTACTTCAGGAAATCGAAGATCTCAGAATTCATATACAAGCATACGCTGATGATATAATATTAATAGCAAAAGGGAAAACCGCAAAGGACATAGAGACAGAGTTAAACCCAGCACTAAACTGCATTCTGAACTGGAGCAAAAATAGAAAAATGAAAATAGCAGCCCATAAAACAGAAGCTATTATTACAACCAAAAAGACGAAGTATGATATTCCGAAAATAGTATTGGGCGACGCTGAAATAAAATACGGGCAGTCTGACTATATTAGGACTTACAATTGATTCCAATTTAAACTATGTTAAGCATATAGACGGGGTTGCAGAAAAAGCCATAAAATTATATAAGAAAGTGTCTAGAACAGCTAGGGCAAACTGGGGCCTCAATTCTCAGATTCTGAGGACCATATATATAGCAGTTGTAGAACCCACAGTTCTGTATGCGGCGTGTATTTGGGGAGTCTCAGCCCATAAAAAGCAGATTAAAGTAAAGTTGGACAGAATTACCAGAACTTTCAGTATAGCAATTAGCAAAGCACATCGAACAGCGTCCTTAATCTCCTGTGCAACACTTGCTAGAATTCTTCCACTGGATCTAAGAGCTCAGGAACAATTGGAACTTTATAAAACAAAGAAAGGTAAACCAATATCATACCTTCCGGGAAGAGAATTTGCGAAACCAGTAAGCCCGTACACCTTGCCTCATCCAGCGGAGCGAATTAAAATCACATACGGCTCAATCACAGCGGAAAGCGACATAGACAACATTGGAAACAATTGGCCATGCATTTATACCGATGGGAGTAAAATTTCTGGCAAAGTGGGCGCTGCGATTACCTGCTGGATAAGTGGACAAGAGAAATACAAAACGCGTTTAAAACTCGGGAACTATTGCAGCGTTTATCAAGCGGAGCTAGCAGCCATACTGACAGCTCTGGGTACTATGCTCAAGCAAAAATCGCTAAAGAAAGCAAATATAATTAGCGATTCACAATCGGCGCTGGATTGTTTATCGAACCCAAACACCCTCCACCCCATTGCAGCTGAGATATTGGATCGCATGGCAGAAATAAGAAAAAACAATGGAGAAGTAAATTTTTTCTGGGTTAAGGCACACTGTGGTATCGCTGGTAACGAGAGAGCAGACGAACTGGCAAAATCCGCAGCAGAAACCTGCAAACAAGCACCTGCCTATGACTGCTTCCCCCTATCATTTGCAAAGCGCCTCATCAGAGGGCAAACTTTACTCAAGTGGCAGGAAAGGTACACCGGTGCAGACACAGGAATAGTAACAAGGACATTCTTCCCTCACGTCGAAGAGGCGTACAAGACACTGCAGAAAATTAAAATTAACAATATAAGATCTCAAATATTTACCGGCCACGGTGGCTTTAAAGCTTACCTGCATAGGTTTAAGTTAGCGGAAAGCCCCTACTGTGACTGCGATCAAGAAACACAACAGTCCATCGAACATATACTCTTAGAGTGTCCCAAGTACTCAATAATTAGAATGAATTGCGAACACCGTATGGGCTTTGCGCTAAAGAAAGAGACCTTAAGTAGAGCTATCAACGACAATGACGGTCGAATCCATTTCCTAAAGTTTGCTGAAGATTGTGTTAGAAAGGCGCTTAAGGAGAATGGATCAAAAATTAATTAGAGTATTAATAAACAGTAGAATATTTAGTCACATAAAATTCTGTTTAATAAGTAAAGCCAATATTAAGTTGTATATATTACTGAAGTAGAATAGCTTATAGTAAGTAGAACAGCAAAAGCTTCAATACAATCATAGAAAAAATGAACATATACGTATATATATATATGTATGTATATATATATATATATATATATATATGTATGTGTGTCTGTGTATGTATGTTTATTTTATATTTTAATTAAGGTCATTACATATATATATATAAAAAAAAAAAACGAGAAAAAAAATATTTAGCGCCATAGCTCCAATTATATAAGTATAGTTTTTATTGAGAATTATAGTTACAGTAATTAGCATAGCTCACAGTAGATAAAACAGCATAAGCGTCAATAATATTATAGATAAGAAATTAAATAAGTATAGATTAACAGATATGTGTAAGGTAGGAAACGCCTTGAAATTATATAAATAACACAGAAGTCTAAATTCTCATGTAGAATGATATAATATATATGTATATAAGATTAAAAAGATTAAAGGGCGGAATAAAGCCATGCAGAGAATTAGATTAACTTAGTTAGTTTAGTTAAATACATAGTTAAGCATTAAACAAATTGTATTATATGTAAGGCATATAAAAAAAAAACATTAAAAAAAAATAAAAAAAAAATAATAAAAAAAAATAATAAAAAAAAAAACCTAGAGCGAACTACTACAAGATTGACCACTAAAAAAGAATAAAGGGTGCTGTAAAATTAAAAACAGCAGATGATACAAGTAATATAAAAAAAAAAAAAAACCTAACCTAACCTAACCTAACCTTTTTTTTTTTTTTTTTTTACATGGGGAAATGCCTACGCATACCCGCCTCGCGGGGGCAAGGACGGGTTATGTCGGACTCGCACCGACTAAAACCCCATGGTGTTCCACACTCGTCGCATATTGGCAGGGCCACGGGAACGCTTTCGCACACTTCCGCGGCCCCACCTGCGCTGGCCGCCCCATGGCGGCCCCTCCTCGGGAGAGGAACACTCCTCCCCCATCTCCTTCTCAGGTAAGGCGCACCAGAACACATGGTGCGCCCTCCTCCTCGGCCTCCAATTTCCAATGCGCAACGGACGCCCCCGTGTCCGATGCGCGAAGGCCATGGGGCCAGGAAAAACTAGCACTCAGAAGCACCAGGCTTCCTGACCCCAGCGGCGGATCTGGTCTATGGCTCCGCCGCCAACCGAGATTCGGCTGCGGAGGGTAGGGAGAGCGGCGCCTCGCAATACCGACACTCCTCTCCCCCCGCAGCCCCACCACCACCGCATCATTAACGGTGCGGCCCCGTCAGAGTCGCGGAGGATAGGGCGAGTGGCGCATCGCCATACCAGCACGCCTCTTCCTCCGCGACTCCACCTCGGCTGCAGCGGTAGAGGGTGCGGACTCCCCTCTCACCGCAGCCCCCCGACACACATCCGAAGTGGGCTTCCCAAGCCCACTCGGAGTGGCCACCTCGGGCCGGCCCTACACCACGGGCCAGCCAAGGGGTTCCTCTTTGTTCACCGTGGGTGACCAAGCCATGGCTACTAAGCCCCCCCGCCACGACAAGGCGGGAACCCGTTCGGGGGGGAACCTAACCTAACCTAACCTAACCTTTTTTTTTTTTTTTTTTTTCGTGGGGAAATCCTCATGGATACCTCCGGCTGCGGGGGCAACCGGAAGGTTATGCCGGACTCCTACCGGCTAAAACCCCACGGTGCCTCCTCGCACGTGCGCGCGGGGCCGCGGGAATCCAAATTCTTCCGCAGCCCCACACTTGTGCTGGCCCGGTCTGTCCGGGCCTCGTCTCCTGTACGGGGTAGCGAGGTGTTCAGCTACCCCCCTCCACAGCCTCCAACTCCACCTGCGTATCGGACCCCCCCGAGTCCGATACGCGGAGGCCATGGGGCCCAGTAAATCGAGCGCTTAATAGCGCCCGCTTTACCGACCCCAGCGGCGGATCTGGTCTCGGGCTCCGCCGCCAACCAAGTTTCGGCCGCGGAGGATAGGGAGAGCGGCGCCTCGCAATACCGACACTCCTCTCCCCCCGCGGCCCCACCACCACCGCATCAACGGTGCGGCCCCGTTTGAGTCGCGGAGGATAGGGCGAGTGGCGCATCGCCATACCAACACTCCTCTTCCTCCGCGACTCGACCTCGGCTGCAGCGGTAGAGGGTGCGGACTCCCCTCTCACCGCAGCCCACCAACACACATCCGAAGTGGGCTTCCCAAGCCCACTCGGAGTGGCCACCTCGGGCCGGCCCTACACCTCGGGCCAGCCAAGGGGTTCCTCTTTGTTCACCGCGGTTGACCAAGCCACGGCTACTAAGCCCCCCCACCACGACAAGGCGGGAACCCGTTCGGGGGGGAACCTAACCTAACCTAACCTAACCTAACCTAACCTAACCTAACCTTTTTTTTTTTTTTTTTTTTTTACATGGGGAAATGCGTACGCATACCCGCCTCGCGGGGGCAAGGACGGGTTATGTCGGACTCGCACCGACTAAAACCCCATGGTGTTCCAACCTCGTCGCATATTGGCAGGGCCACGGGAACGCTTTCGCACACTTCCGCGGCCCCACCTGCGCTAGCCGCCCCATGGCGGCCCCTCCTCGGGAGAGGACCACTCCTCCCCCATCTCCCTCTCAGGTAAGGCGCACCAGAACACATGGCGCGCCCTCCTCCTCGGCCTCCAATTTCACATGCGCAACGGACGCCCCCGTGTCCGATGCGCGAAGGCCATGGGGCCAGGAAAAACTAGCACTCAGAAGCACCAGCCTTCCTGACCCCAGCGGCGGATCTGGTCTATGGCTCCGCCGCCAACCGAGATTCGGCTGCGGAGGGTAGGGAGAGCGGCGCCTCGCAATACCGACACTCCTCTCCCACCGCAGCCCCACCACTACCGCATCAATCGACGGTGCGGCCCCGCCTGAGTCGCGGAGGATAGGGCGAGTGGCGCATCGCCATACCAACACTCCTCTTCCTCCGCGACTCCACCTCGGCTGCAGCGGTAGAGGGTGCGGACTCCCCTCTCACCGCAGCCCCCCGACACACATCCGAAGTAGGCTTCCCAAGCCCACTCGGAGTGGCCACCTCGGGCCGGCCCTACACCACGGGCCAGCCAAGGGGTTCCTCTTTGTTCACCGTGGGTGACCAAGCCACGGCTACTAAGCCCCCCCGCCACGACAAGGCGGGAACCCGTTCGGGGGGGAACCTAACCTAACCTAACCTAACCTAACCTTTTTTTTTTTTTTTTTTACATGGGGAAATGCCTACGCATACCCGCCTCGCGGGGGCAAGGACGGGTTATGTCGGACTCGCACCGACTAAAACCCCATGGTGTTCCAACCTCGTCGCATATTGGCAGGGCCACGGGAACGCTTTCGCACACTTCCGCGGCCCCACCTGCACTGGCCGCCCCATGGCGGCCCCTCCTCGGGAGAGGACCACTCCTCCCCCATCTCCCTCTCAGGTAAGGCGCACCAGAACACATGGCGCGCCCTCCTCCTCGGCCTCCAATTTCACATGCGCAACGGACGCCCCCGTGTCCGAAGCGCGAAGGCCATGGGGCCAGGAAAAACTAGCACTCAGAAGCACCAGC